ACTCTGAGATCTGTCTGTAGTTTAACCTCAGCTCACATTTCAGCCTCAGAGAACTCTATTTCTGGCTCCTTGCCACAGCACCCTCTCTATCAGATGACAGATACAGTCTCCACTTCATGGTCCCACCAGGTTTATATCCCTCTGCCTCTATTCCAAAACTACCTCTCCTAGGCCAATATATATTCCTGGTTCATTCAGCTAAAACTGAATAGAAATGTAATTAAGATTATTCATATTTTTATAAGGTTGGTCAACTTCTTGCATTAGTATTACTAGACATCTGCTTGATTTTAGAGAGCGCTTCTACAGTGTGTATCCTGGCTTCTTTGTGAAGAACACAAGTCACGACAAAGAACTGATGATAGCTTGACCATTGAGCAAATGAATGATGGATAGGTAGCAGCAAGTGAGGAGATAGGATCAATATATATCCTGCTTACTTAAAAAGTGTTTTCTTTCTGCAGTTTCCCTTACGTCATGTCTGGAAAAAACAGAGGTGATCAAATAAATGATGCTCTTGCTTTTGCCTAGGAATTTCAGACCATAGTAATTTGGCTTTCTGTCTTCCACCAAGACTAAGAAGAACTTATGATCGTTGCATTTTTTTTCCTCCAAGTTTTGTTACACATGCAGACCAGGAGAAGAGGAAAGAACCACAACAATCTCAAGATTATTTTGTGAACACATGGAAAGTGATACAGAAAAGATAAAAATTTAGGAACCGTAGTAAACACGTCATGAGAGCATGTTGGAACTCAGCTGGCCTCTGAGAAAATTGTTAAATAGGAAAGCTTAGCTTTCTGGGAGTCACAGATTTGAAGTTTTATAGAAGTTATGTTCATTATAACTAAGAAGTGCGATTAAATGGGCATCACAGAACATATTTAGCCATTGAGACATCATCACTACATTTATGTTGCTTTCCTGTCAGCTATCTTTCTATTTCTCTGTTTACCTCCTAACTCAAACCAGGAAGAAAGCTTCATAAATAATGCCAGATTGATGCCTTTCTCCCATTCCTTTTATTCCTACAATTTTTTTTCCCATTTGTCCTTTGTTCCAATAATTTCAGTATTTTCCTCCAGTAAAAGTTTCTCCAGTGTTTATATGAATGATACTACTTTATATTTGGACAGTATTTTTCTGCAATGTAACCAATTATATGATAAATAGGCCTTTAACAGTCCAGCATTCTGGTCTTCTCTATAATCTGTTGGCAGGTACAGTGATAGATTTCATGCACCCATTCTATAGTAAAATTTATGGCTGTGATGATATTTTAATGCTGAGAGGAAAATACATATATTCTTCCTTTCTAGTTCTGCTTTTATTTTACTTCTAGCATGAATGACCACGCTTGATATATTTGGAAATAAAGTTTTTGATAATTAAGAATACACAGAGATCTCTAATTTCTATGAGCTCTAAGTTTTTCATCTTTAATCTTTGGCTGTGCACAAATTCTGTAGAGGGTAGCACAAGTTTTTTGACCAGTATTCAAGGCTAGAGAAAATAACTACTCAGAGATGCTCAACTTATTTTATAAGCAAGCCATTCTTTGAAGAGACTTTAAGTGATAGCGCTGTCTTCTACTTGAATTGGGAAACAAAACAGTAATTTGCTTTCATTGGAAAAGAGGTAAAAGGGGAATTCTGATAGAGATATATACAGATACTCCAAGGAAAACTTGCTAAATTTGCCAGTGATTTAGATGACTAATAACACACTTAATCACAACTCAAGAAAATGAGTATTTGAGATGTCATGTTTTGGCTATATCGATATGTAAGGAGAGGAAGCAGTTGACATAGCTGCCTTTGACTAGTTTTGTATCAAACAAGAAAGGTAATGGTCACAAATTCAGTAGCAAAGAAAGAATAGCTTACTCTTTCCGGGGATCAGGGCTTCCTAGAACTTTCCAGAAGAGGCAACCTTCAGCTGCCAGCCCTTAAATGAGGTTAGAAAGGGGTCATACCAAGTGAATTGCTCACACTTGTGCTTCTAGGGCTGGCCACACCCTTTCACCAGCTGCTCAATCACTGGTTCAGGCTGTGACCTAATGGTTTCTATATGCATCAGAGAGAGATAAGAATAAAGAAATTGCAAGTGGCAATAAAATCTATCATATTTTAAGCATCAAGGAAAGAAACTGAAAGCAGTAAAATCCGTACATTTTAAACTGTCAAAAAAAAATCACAGGAACAATTTAAATAAAACATTACTTCATGAGGAAACACAGACTGTAATTGATGATCTCATTTTAGTTAAACATTATGTCCAGATGGGATTAGTATTGAATTGTACAAAATATACAGATATAATTTTGCCTTGCTCAAAAATTATTCACACTGTTCTTTAAAATAAGTATTTTCTTATTTGTTCAGAATCATAGCTACAACACTGTCTTGCATGTGCTTTCAGAATATTACAATGGGAATATTTTAGTGTTTTCTAAGTGGAAATAAATCATATTAAAAGAAAAAAATGCATTAAAGATTTTTCTTGTTTCTTATATAATGCTGTTGCAGAGATACTTGCAAAAGATTTTCTGGTTATGTGCTTCTAGCCATGGAGGGTTATGCCTTTGCCCAGGGAGATGAATGAGCTAGCTTAGGCTAAACTGAGATGCTCTTACTGTGTCACAGCAAACTCAGTGAAACAAGACCTTGGAAAGAGCAAGCTGTAATATTACCTTTGCTGCTTTTCCCCACACCTTTATTTTTGTGTCAAAATTGTGTTTTTGTGTCAAAGTGAGGTTTCCTGAATGATGATAACAACAACAAGCAACAGTCACTGACAGACCTTTTTAACCCATAGTAACAACAGCAACTTATGGGAAGTCAGTGGCATTGTATGATAAATCCTTAATGTACATCACAATCCAAATGAAACAATCTGGTTTGACTTCTGACAGCTGCTTTGAGAATTGCTGTATATTTCTTCTTTTTTTCCCCCTTGCCTCTCTGCCAGGTAAGCTAGGGAACATCTACTACCTCTACTGCTACATGAGTTACTCTTCTCACCAGCCCTCAGGTCACCAGTCAGACATACGCTGATACAAATTTCTTGGACTAGTGGACCACATTTTGTTTATTGTTTTTGTTGTATTGTCTTCACTGGCAGAGATAAGGACTGAATTTATATCACAGTGCGCCTTCCAAGAAGTATCAAGGTGAGTGGGGATTGATGCTGAGAGACAGCCACATGTTCTCCCATGTAAAAGTAATGGCTCACACCATGGGGGTGAAGCGAGCTTCCCTTCTGACTCCTGGTACTTGTACCTACTACCTCTGCCTAAGTATGCTGACAGCCAGAGCTCAGAAAGCAGATGGCACAGTATTGTGGGAATTCAGCACACCTTGTTATGCCCAGGAGTAGATGGCAATAAGATCTGAGAGAAAGTAGGAATTAAAATGATTCATGCTCTTACCAGTGTCAGAGAGATGGGAGATGAAAATGAAGAAAAAAATGGAGCATTTGATATCAAAAAATAGGGTATGTAATAATGGAAAGAAGGCTCAGGCATGTCTGAGTGTGCTTTCAAGTGTGCCTTCTATGTTTTATCTATCAGTACTATATCTTGAGCACCTATCAAAGTGCTGTGAGTAAAGCTTTTAGTGTTAATAACTCCTTGAGTTTAGCTTCATCTTTAACAAGTCTGGCTTCCAGACAAAGCCATATAAGTGTCTGACACCCCCATATATTAATCCTTTGACACTAGAATGATACAAATCCTGTTTAGGACTTTCTTTTAATATTACTTGTTGTTGTTTTCTTCATCTGTTTCAATTCTTTTTTTGCCACTCAAGAGTTGTTTTAAAAATATATACATACATATAAATTCCACATATTTCTTAATTCCTGGCCATAACTTGTAATACAATGAGCCTAGAAAGCCATAACGAGGTACATCCCATGGAAATCCTGCAAAACTCATAGACTTCATACAAACAGTATCCTTTGGAAGAAGTAACTTGTCTTGCTGGAAGAAAGCACTGCCATAAGTTACTAAAACATAGGAAGTATTAGAGACAGCAGATGAAGAAGCTAACTCAGAAGTACAGAATGATATGCTGTGAAAACAACAACATAGAGGAAAGCTGCCTGTATGCAAGAGGAACGGTTTATTATTGAATAGCCCAATATTATGGAGACAATATTAAAAGAAAGGGCTGTCTTAAGAATTTATATTTCCTCTCCCTTACAGCCATGAAACTAACTGTACTTGATAGAAAAAAGTCAAAGGCTTGTCAAATCTAAGAACAGAGCAGGAAATTTACCTTAAGAAATACAAAATATTTTTTTATGTTGGTACTCTATTTGCACTAGCTTTCTTCTATAAGAAATCTGAAGGGCTAGATATTACCAGAGGTTTTTCAGTTCCGAGGTATGCCAGCTAGTAACTCTAACCATATGATTGTATGAAGATTCTTAAACATGTTATTTAAATGTCTTAGATTAGGCACAGTGAATTGAAACCAATTAAAAAGCTTAGAGAACTTCAGTGACAGTGAAGGAGTATGGATGGCCAGCTACCTTCTTTGTACCATGCCTCTGGAAGAAAAACATCACACAACAGCTGCTAGAACCCTACTCCAATACATACTGATGGCACATACTGAATATCATCTCAATCCAGTAAATCCACTATGACAGCAGCTATGCAGAGAACAACATTCCATGGGAGACAATGCTCCTTGGTTGCGAACTATGCATCTGACTGCTCATAGTTAAGGACTCTTACAGAAAATACTTTCTGATCACTATTTTCTCTTGCTCAGGCTTGACTCCTTAGCTTGCAGAATGAGAATTCCAAAAGGTGGGAACTAGAAAATTTGAATATTAGAGACAAACATTAGAGAGTGTAGTACACTGTCTTCTAATACTATTTTGCATTTTGGTGGCGCGTAATCAATGAATATACAGGTGCTATAATTAGGAAATATACAAGAGAACTTGGCTAAGCAGGCTATTACACCAAAAATAGATAAAAGGCTTACCCTTATCCTGGGCTTGCTGTAAAACTCCAAAAGGAGGGATCTCCAGAAAGAGATCCTTCCCTACTAGTAGTCAGCTCTTCAATGGGTCTAGAAGAGGTGCAACCAGGCTCCACCCCTTCCAGCAGCACAGGTGAATTGCCTTCACCTGTGCTCCAGTGGCTGACTCATTGCTTGCCTAAGGGGATCAATCAGAGGTTCAGGCTGTGATTCAACAGTTCCCATACAGGTGGCTATCGTATGTTCTTCTTTCTATCTACAGGCTTTCTCTGCTGCCTCAGACAACACAGATGTGATTCATCACATGCTTTTAGCAGTAAAACAGCTTCTAGAGCATTGCTTTAAATTTTTGTTCTCTTTTTCCAGTTCAGCAGGAGAAACAACACTTAGATACCATGCTAGTTTTCTTTGCATATGCTTTCTCACCTTTACACATTCCTGCTATAATTTTGTTTGTATGATCTCCAAGGTGTTTTCCATATGACCTAAAGCTCAGTGACCCTGAAAGTTAATGGATTCAAAGCTCCCAATTCTACCTGACCCATTGTTCACAATGAGCTATTTATCATATATACCAACCCTCTGGGGTCTGGACTGCACCACAGGAATGTTTTATAAAGCACAAAGTAGAAGAGAAGGGTGATGAAGAGGCTTTCAATTGGTTCTGCAATCAATGGTTATTTAATTGATATTTTTTATTTATTTTACATATTTTGTCACATCTGGTACTAAATAACATAGAAGTGCATTTTTTTGCAAGAACAATGGGACCACTTCTGAGAGCCAGAGTGCCTGCCTCACGCCAGAGTGCCTGCCTCATGCTGTTATATGCTGTTAGCCCATATCTAAATGGTATTCAAGTAAAGGGATCGCTTGTGCATTCAACTCTGTAAGTAGGGTTATGTTCAGGAATCCAGAGAAATACCAGGTATATTCTCACACGTCTGACTTGAAGTTGAAATAAATTATCGTTGCAGCCTGGAGATGCTGCAAGCAATGGTATTGCAATGAAATACATTATTGGAGATTCATTAAGAATGATATAAAACAGAAAGTATTCCTGAAAATCAAAGAAATTGATAATATTGGCCTTAATCCATCACTCACTGGATGGGTATTGGTTCCATCCCTCTAGAACAGTGCACAAGAATAACTGAATTACCCTGTCTGTATACAGAAAAAAATGCTGAAAGTTGAAGCAGCAAGGCATACTTTACATTAGAGACCAAGAGATCACAAGCAGGTCCCAACCATTCCTCATCTGAGATGCAGACTCATGTATCACCTGCCCATTGGCCCAGATCCAATGCCTGGCTGTGTCCCCAGCTAAGTCTCACTCATTTGGCACCTTGCCTTGGCCTCCTCTCTGTAAACTTGTCTAGCAGCCTGGACTGTTGGATAGTTCTCCATTTCTAGCTGGTGAAGAACAGTCCTTGCTGCTATCCTAGCTCACATCTCTCATCACAGCTCTACCAGCTTTCTGCAACAGGCTCCACTTAGAATCATTGCTGGAGGAGGTATGCTTTTACATGATGTCTACTAATGTAACTTTGTAGACTCTGCTCTCCCCAACTCTCTCTTACTTTCCCATATTCCAGAATTTGCAGAGACTCTTCCACTTTTCCGTACAGCATCCATTGTGTCTTGATGCAACAGGAAGTTTCAGTAACCTTTTATGCTGTAACAGCATTGATTTGGAAAACGGAGGTAGAGGAAGGGAGAATTAGTCTCTGAGGACAAAGCTACTGTCCCACCAATAGTTCTCGCTGACCTTCAAATACTACATAATCAATGTTGTATCTTGGTGTGAAAGACCATATTCAAAACTTATACCATGAACTGAAACTGACCATAGCCTACCATCTCTTCTTAGCAGAAGATGTTACTGGCTCCTTCTTTGATAAACTCTTTGCAAAACATCCCATTTGTTCTCTTGACTTATTAGTCTTCAGCTGATGGCTTTGTGATTAAAGGGCTCAGCACAGGTGCTGAAGTTCTTCCTGGCGAATTTCTCTCATTCTTGCTAATTGCAGTGCTGTGCAAATTAGTCAGATACCAATGAGAAAATAGCATGACAAAACATCCAGTAGGTGCTACATCCCAGATGGTTAGGTGGGAAACAGAGAACTCATGAAAAGGAGGCACGAAGCCTCACAAGATCCCACATTCCAGCTGCTATGGCCTTGCAGTCATTTTTCTAATCTCTTGCAACTCCTTGTGCTTTCTGAGCAAATCTTAAAATAGGACTGGATATTCCTCATAAGTATGCCTTTACTTTTCTGTCTTATTATTTTGATCAGCTGACTATCCACAGCTGAAGTCATCATGGACAAGACTGCCTTGTCAGAAATTACTCTTGAAGCATCCATCCAGATCTGCATGTCTGCCCCAGTCAGGATGATCTCCTGCCAGAACATCAGGAAACAGTGAAAACACAGCAGCTGCCCACTTTAAATATCTACAGACTGGATGCACTTCAATTCTTTTAGCAGCTGAAATTTCTTGAATGGCTTGAAAACTATTCCTGTTACTGTGTAGTGCATGCTGCTAACAGGGTTGGTTTTGAGGGTCTTCTGTAATATTAAGCTGGAGAACTCCTCAAAAGAGGAGAACATTACTCAAAAGAACTGTATTTGAATGCTTTCTAACATTTATGTACTTTCAATAAATGAACGAAAAGTGCATGTAGCCAGAGACTGAGAATGTTTTGTTTCTATTAGAAAAGTGAATGGAATAATGTTAACCATACCTTGCTTTATTTATTTTTTATAGAATTTACATCAAGCAATCAGAGCTTTTTCAGTGCTTTTGTCAACCTGGTATTGTCAAAGGTGCAATTCTTTCTGAGAGCGGTCGTGCTGTGATGAACAATGACACAATATACTGTTTTCCCCTCGTCTTCCCAAGCTCAGACTGTGTGATGACACTGAGGGCTGTTTCACAATGCCATCTGAGGTGGTTTTTGAGACATTTTGTCCTTGGATCAGAAATATGTTCATGCAGGAAGCAGGTATACTTGTACTAATTTTCAAGCTGCCACACATCATGGAGGCTTTGTACTCCAGAAATAATGAACATGGCTTTTTCAGTCATTCTTTGGTCTTTATACATAACATAGTACATTGTATTAGTGGATGAAGTAATCTGGTTTCAAGACATTTCAATACCTGTTTCTTGTGGTGTACCATCTGAAATGCAGAAATCTTGTCATGCCCTATCACTGACTGCCTCTGAAAGGCAGAAGTATGTTTCTCCAGTAGATAAATGTCATTTATCTGCATTTGTTTCTAGGGTAACTGGTGGTTCCTTAGGCTGTCACCACTTAAACTAGCTGTGTTAGGGGCTATTCTTTTGTTCTGGAACATGAATCAACATTTATCTCTACGATGTAAATAGCAAAGTGAAGTGGAATTACTCAAATAAGAGCATGAAATCTAAGCAACAATAAGACATAATGCACCGCTGTGAAACACTTCAAGACATAAACAACCCAGACTTCATAGACACCTTAGTGCTAATAGTCCACTGTACAATCTCTTACTCATACTTTCCTAATCATTTTTGCATGAGAGAGGGATGAATAAAGTTATGGTTTCTAAGCTGCTTTGCTGCTGAGTCTTAGAAGAGAGTTACTAGTGAATGTGACACAGTGAACAACCTCCATTGACATAACAGACTCTGTAATGCATTTCCTTTGCAGCTAGCTCTAAAGTACAGAGAGGACAACTAAATTGCACCATTTTCTTAATGAAAAAAACTCACAATACCTTAATCAAAGGTATTCTCTTAGTGAGAAAAAATGCCATTCAAAAAGTTCAAGTAAATGCACAGCCCTGTCTTTAATCTGAACATTTACCTCAGAGCTCCAAAGAAAAATCCAGCAATTAATTTTCTCTGATTCTCTCAAAGACTAAGTGGCAACAGCAGAAACTCCCTTTTCAAAACCTAGTATATTCCATTTGTCAAAGGCCAGGAAAAGCCAAATACTTCTGAGGATGTAGGGACTCACAAGGGCTAAAAGAATAAAAGGGAAAATGACAGCAGCAATCTCTAAGGGGACTGCAGTCTGAAAGTGGTGAGCTGTTGACCTCTTTCTACCACTTAATTTATAATGTGATGAGAGCCTGATGATGATGGAAAAAGCCACTCTTCCTCCTTGATGATGACCTAGAGAATTAGGATCATGAACCAGGCATACAAGCATGGATTATGACAACTGTATCACCATCCGCTCTGCTATTTGGTACATCAAGGACAGTAGTGAATACCTCTAAACTTAAAAACATTTTGCATCCTGGTCTCCAGGGAACAGATTAAAGTAAAATGATCCCCCCTTACCCTCCCTCCCAAAGAAAAACACAAAAATACATAGTCTTAGGCTACTAGGATATTTTTTTCAGCTATAGTTTTTCTTTCTTTCTTCAGTATTCCCTGTAGTGTCACTAGGAAACCGCAGTACTGCCAAAACATGTTCTCTATTTTTCATTTTCCTTACTTTTATGTCAGTGCTAAAAAGGAATTCAGAATTCTGCTTAGCTACAATATTATGAAAAAACAGCTTGTTAAGAAACAGTTTTTAAATATAAACGTGCACCTTTTTGAATGGCAGAATCAATCTAGACATTATTGCAATATAGTCATAGATGACACTGTATATAATCTAGCTTTCCAGTTAAAAGAATTTAAATAGTTTTGAAGAACTTAAATTCTGATATGCCTCACTGAGACAAATGACAAAATTTCACAGAATCACAAAATCACAGAATTGTAGGGGTTGGAAGGGACCTCCAGAGATCATCGAGTCCAACCCCCCTGCCAAAGCAGGTTCCCCACACCAGGTCGCACAAGTAGGCATCTAGGCAGGTCTTGAACATCTCCAGAGAAGGAGACTCCACCACTTCCCTGGGCAGCAGGGAATAGTGCTATCTTCAACAAAGATAGCGCTATTCAATGCAAAGAAGATAATCAGATCACAGTCTAGCAAATCTGGGAGGGATAGGGAGTGAACTTGCAAGCAGCTGTCTATTTTTTTCAGCCTCCTACAAAATA